GTTGCTTAGTTCCTGAGGTTATATTAAGATAATGCTAACTGCTGGAATACACAACCCCAATATAATGGTTCAAAACAATAAAATCTAACATTATAATGAGTGAAATAAATCAGCCACAAAAGGACAGTATTGCATGATCCCACTTATCTGAAATATCTAGAATAAGCAAGTGTTCAGAGACAAAAAATTATTAACAATTGCCACAGTTTCAATGTTGGAGGAAAAAGGGTAACATTGCTTAGAGGACATTGCACTTCTGTTAAGGGTGATAAAAAATTTAGAAACAGTGGTGATAGCTGAAAAACATGAGTATAATTAATGCCACTGAATTGTATGTGTGAAGAATGCTGAAATGTCAAATATTTGTTACATATATATTTGCCACAATAAAAAATCATAGAAAATAGAAGCTCAATTTCCTTCATATTAAATTCAAAATGGGTGTTCTAAATAGCAATTCAGGAACTCTGGCTCACTCCACCTTGAGGAAATGCATCTTACACATGTGGATTTCAAGGTTATTTTGTTTGTCTACTTCAAGCCAATGGATTGGAGAGAGGAATGTAAGGTTTTATAAGTCAGGTATGAAAGAGGGACATATCATTGCAGATCACATTTTATTGGCTAGAACTCAATGTCTTGGACACACCTAATGACAAAGGAGACTGGGAAATGCAGGTAGCTGTGTGCCCAGAAGGTGAAAATTGTTTGGTAAATAATGTTTGCCACAATTATTATTTTTTTAATGAGATGGGATGGAATGTTTAAAAATGCATTTGACTTACCATATATGAAGTGTTAGTATAGTTTTAAAAAAAATGTGTAACCTATATGTTCATTGTATTAGTCTGGGTACTTTAGAGAAACAAATCCACAGAAACTCATGTATAAGAGAGAGTTTTATATAAAGGATAAGTTCACATCAAGAAAACATCCCAACCCAGTGCTGCTCAAGCCCACAAGTCCAACATTAACCCATATGTCCAACACCAATCCACAAAGTCCTCCTCCATCTCACAAACCAGATGCAATGATGCCAACTGCAGGAGGAAAGCTGAGTCAGTGAATGTGTAAACATCTCAGCGCTGGCAGGGGTCTCCACACGGCTGCTCCAGCACCCAGGGCTGCATCTGGGTAGGTCCATCTGGCTTCTCCTTGGGTGTGTCTTGCAGGAAGTCAGCCTTGCAAGCTGAAGCAGGGAACTGCTAAAGCAGCTGCACCCTGCTGAGACCATCACAAAGCAAGAGACCCTAGAACTAGAAAGAGGAGGCTCACTGAGCCATTTATCTCTCTGCCCTTCAATTAACCCCACATGTGTTTATCGACCAGGTTGGCACAATAAACTAACTAACTCGTTCATGTATTCATAAAGTTTTCAGTGGCTAATCCCTCAGGAGTTGACAGTCTATTTCTTCTTCCTAGTCAGTTATTAATCTGAAAGATTTACTGAAACCTGTTCACCATGGATGACCCTTTGGTATTTATAAAACTAGTGGCATAGCTTCCAGCATCACAGCAAAACACAAAGCACAATATTCTGACAGGTTGAGAGATTAGTTTACTATACTAGAAACAATTAATTCAAGAGGAATGACTTTGCATTCATAGCCAAAAGGAACATTTCAAGATATATCTGGAAGTACAATACTGTCTGTCATAGGAGACTAGCTCTGTGCCGACAAGGAAGTTCCGTTAATACAACCATTATTCAAATATATGCACTAACCACTGAAGCTAGTGATGAAGAAATAGAAGAATTCTACAAACTTCTTCAGTCTGAAATTGATCAAGATTCATTGATAATTACTAGCCATTGAAATGCAAATGTTGGAAACCAAACAAAAGGATCCATGATTGGAAACCACATTGCCTCAGTGAAAGAAGCAAAACTGAAGATCACATGATAGAATTTTTTAAGCCCAATGATCTCTTTATTACAAATGGGTTTCTCAACAATATAAATGTCGACTACACATGTAAACTTCCCGAGATGAAATACACATGAATCAAATTAACTCCATCTGTGGGAAGAAATGATAAATCCAAACTCCTTGCCATCAAACTGATGCTGACTAATAGTTACCCAATAGGACAAACTCACTGTCCCTGTACATTTCTGAGACTTTAACTCTTTTCAAGAGTAGAAAGCCCTGCCTTTCTCCCACATGGAAAGATATGATGGAGGTCCTCAATATCATTAGGCAAAAAGAGGTCAGGGTCTGACTGTGGGACAGATCATCAGCTGCTCATATACAAGTTTAGACTGACCCTAAAGAAAATTAAAACTTGTCCATGAGAGCCAAAATTCACCCAAAATATTCAGGTATGTGTCACCTGAATTTAGAGAACATCTTAAGAACAGATTTGACATATTGAACACCGATGATCAAAGTCTAGAGGAGTTATGATGTGACACCAAGAACATTATACATGAAGAAAGCAAAAGGTCGTTTAAAAAAAAGAAAACTATCAAAATTAGAAAGACACAGTGAAAGTTGTTTTTGAACATAGAGTAGCAAAATTGATAAAAAGGAGCTGAAGAGAACGTTTCAAAGAGCATCTTGAGAAGACAAAGTATTATAATGAAATTTGCAAGGACATAAAGTCATAAATCAAAAAAGAAGACCACATCTAGCTTATCTCAAACTGAAAGAACTGGAAAAAATAGTCAAACTTCAACTCGCAATATTGAAGGATTCTATGACAAAATATTGAATGATATAGCTTGTAACAAAATAAATGGAAGGAATGTACAGTGACTGTACCAAAAAATTAGTCCATATTGAACCATTTTAAAAGGTATCGTATGATCAAGAACCAATGGTATCAAAGGAAGAATTTCAAACCTCACTGAAGGCATTACTGGAAAGTACGCCTCCAAGAAATCACAGAAACCAATAGAAATGTTTCAACAAACTGATGCAGCACTGGAAGACCTCATTTATTTATGCCAAGATAGTTGGAAGACAGTTATCAGGCCAACTGACTGGCAGAAAAATGACCCAAATGAATATCAATATGAATGAAAAATATTATCAATATCACATACAAGTAAAGTTTTGCTGAGGATCATTCAGCAAGGTTTGCAGTAGTTCCTTGACCAGGAGCTGCCAGAAATTAAAGTTGATTTCAGAAGAGCATATGGAATAAGTGATATCTTTACTGAAATCAGATGGATCTAGGTTGAAAGTGGTGAATACCAGAAATATATTTACTTGTGCTTTTTTGACTATATAAAGGCATTTGACTGTACGAATTTTTGCAAACAATGGACAATATTACAAAGAATGAAAATTCCAGAACACTTCATTGTGCTCATATGGAACATGTACATAGAATAAGAAGCAGTCGTTTAAACAGAAGAGAGAACATTGCTTGATTAAACATTAGAAAATGTGTGTGTCAAGATTGTACCCTCTCGCCATGCTTAATCAATCTGTTTGCTGATCAAATAATCAGAGAAGCTGGACTACAAGAATGCAGCATCGGGATTGGACAAAGATTTATTAACAACCTGAAATATGCAGATGACACAATCTTGGTTGCTGGAAACACAGAGGATTTGAAGCACTTGGTAATGAATATTAAATCCTTCAGTCTTCAGTATAGATTGCAACTTAATGAAAAGAAAACAAAAATCCTCATAACGAGACCAGTAGAGATTGTCAATTATTTCATTTTACTTGGACCATGCTCATAGAAGCAGTAGTTAAGAAATAAAATGATATGTTACATTGGGAAAATCTGCCGCACAGAAGCTCTTTAAAGTGTTGAAGAGCAAGGATGTCACTTTGAGGACTAAAGTGTGCCTGGTCCAAGCCATGGTACTTTCAATTGTCTCATATGCATGTGAAAGTTTGACAATGAATAAGGAAGACTACAGAAAAAATGATGTGTTTGACTTCTGGTGTTGGTGAAGAATATTGAAAGCACCATAGCTCTCATAAGAACCGAAAAATCTGTCTTGGAAAAAGTATGGCCAGAATGCTCACTAAAAGCAAGGATGAAGAGATTTCATGTCAAGGATGGTGAGACATGCAATCAGGAAGTCCCAGTTCCTGGAAAAGGACATCATGCTTGGTAAAGGAGAGGGTCGGTGAGGAAGAGGAAGACCCTCAAGGAGATGGATTAGCAGAATGCCTGCAAGAATAGGCGCAAATATACCAACACTTGAGAAGATGGCACAGGACCAGCCCGTGTCTCCATCTGTTGACATAGATAGGGTCATTATGTGTTGGAACCAACTTGATTGAATCTAACTGCAAACTTTTTTTGTCTATATGCGTGTGTACTAAGTTGAGGTGTAAAATACGTTTTTCAAATTATTTGATGTTTCTGTAGACAGTATTAAAAGGAGCATCAAAAGTATAAAAAGAGTTTAGGTTCTAAAAGAGGCTTATAAAATAATTGAAAGACTGGGCAAGGGTAAACATGCTTATATATTCACAAGTGACAGTAACATCAACGCAAGTAGTTGCATCTGTGTAGACCGCATTTATTCTGAAAAACCTTGGGAAATAATTCAAGTTGGATTCCATGCCCACTGACTCTCCAGACGATCTCACTTGTACTCATGCTTGGATGAGATGAAGGGATAATTCCATAATGCCCAGTAGCACTTACACCGAAAAAACACCGTACTGAAAAGCAAAACAAACAAACAAAAGACAATACTGTTAAAGAAGGATGAAGTGTCACTTTGCTCAGAATTTATACTGAGACTCTGCTCTCAGCATAGCATCAAATAGTATTACTCAAAAGGGCCACTGTTTGGGGGCTATGTGATGTATGAGTGTGTATGCTCATGTGTGTATACAAGTGTGCATGCTTGGATATATGCTCAGCTGTGTGCTAAGACACAGAAGAGTTAGCACAATAAAAAGAACAAGAAGTAGAGAGAATTATTCACATTGATGGAATGATAGGAAGTACTTTGAACAGGTTTTCTTAAGAGAGGTGGAAAAATATGGTTTGGAAAAGCATGGGTGCGATTCAGCACCATGAGTGCATCAGGCCTGGCTGGGTTTCTAGGCCATGCCTGGCCCATCACGTGGAGAGCTGCACGATCATCCCTTCTGCAGCATTTTTTGAAGAAAACAAATTCTTTACAAAGAGGGAAGTCTGAATCCATCAAACAACCCCTTAAAAAGCCAAAGTTACCAGAAGGTCGTTTTGATGCACCCGAGGATTCTTATTTAGAGAACGAACCACTTGAAAAATTTCCAGAAGATGTCAATCCTGTTATTAAAGAAAAGGGTGGGCCCACGGTCCCAGAAAAGCAAGGAGATCTGTAGTGAGCCATAAAACAACCTTTAGAGTTGAAGTCAGCAAACCGGTATTTGGACCCAAAACATGACTGCTTCTTCCTATTATACAAGCTGAAAAAGTGAGTCATAGAGGCCACATGTCTATGCAGCTCATAAGTGGAACTAGAACTCAAATAAGAAGACTTAGTAGTGGGAAAGAATTAAAAACAAAGCAGGATTTCCAAGCAGGATTCCCTGGCTGAGGCACCAAACATACTGAGACAGCAGAAAATTGCAGTCAAGTGGTTGGCAGCAACGGGCCACAGGGTAGTCATGGCTCCTAAGCATGGGGACAGGGACAACCATCCCTACCAATGTGCCTTGGGCTGGAGGGGGTGAGAAAGGGGATGAGATGAATGGGGTCCGAACCATGACGCTCAAATATGGCATTCTGTGAAATGCCTTGATTAGATGCATCTTATCTCTTCCCTGCTGCACTACCGTCCACAGAAAAAGGAAGGAGTAATCAGTGTAAAACAAACACAACTGAGTTTTCCCCTGTAGACCTATAAATCCAGCCTCTCCCTTTCCCCTTCACTTTTCCAAGAGCCACCAGAGTACGGCTGGAGATAGTCACTTATTAAAAACACTAAAAATATACATGAGATCATTCCTTCCCCACAGCCTTCAACCCCCACAAGCCAAGTAATTTGAGCCCCTCTGTGAGGCCTACCATTGTCTCCCTTGAGCTCTTGTGTCTTCTCTAGTTTTCATACCGGGGAGACTGACAGACATATATTTTATGCTATGTTATGTATTAAGATTGGCTAGAGGCTCCATTTCCATTAAAGCTGACTATAGTACTAAGTTATCACTGCCTGGACCTACCCTGCTATTTGCTCTCTGGAGTCAATTTCTAGGCTGTATTTCTATCATTTAGTTTGACATTTGCTCACAAAATGAACAGAGCTTAGTCATGAAAAACTAAAGACGCCTAGCTTCTCTACTACATTGTTTAGAACAGAGTTCTGGAGCCCTCTTCTTGAATTCCTCCAGTACATGGTTCTGACAATTGCCTGAAATTGAGAGGTGAGTGCTCCCTGAAGCTGCAAAATGACCTCTCTTAAACATCAGCTAAGACTCAAAAAGATGAAACAAAAGCAATCGTTGTGGTTTTTACCTTTTCTTCAACATGGGGTTATGTGAGTTGTTGCTCCCTTCAGGCCTTTGTTTTGCAATCTGCATACAGTTCCTGCATAGTAATTATTTAAATGCTCACCCTCATTTTTAAGGCAAGCATTTACAGGAGATTACTTCTCATGTTTGTTTTTTTTAATTTAGAGCGATTGTCTTTAGACCAATTTAGACACTGTGTTATTGCACAGGTAATTAGTAAAATAAACAAGAGACAGTGCATAAAACGAGGAGCAACATCAGGGCGAGGAAACAACAGCTTTCATTAGCATTGGAACCTATGAATTAAGACTGGTAAGGTAAAAAATATATATCATTCCATTTTTTATATGCAGGAGTCAGTCATTGATTGAAATTGCACATCAAAGAGCTACATTTTCATACCGTGGCTCTGGTCCCCTGAAGCTTTGTGTGGGAAGGGATTTTCTATGGCACAATACACACACACACACACACTCACTCACTCAGATACATGGAGCCTCCCAAACACCAAAAAAACCATCTCCTTAGCCAATTCTGAAGGATGCCTAGCTTTATGGTTATATATATTTACTGCCAAGACAAAGAAACCAGAGTCAAACCATGAACAAACAGGCACTGAATTTTTTTTATTGGACCTTTCAAAACTTGTATTTATTTTTATTGTTTAAAATTTTAATCATTTTATTGGGAACTCTTACAGATATCATAACATTCCATATTTCAATCACATCAAGCAGTATTGTACAATTGCTATCACAATCAGTTTCAAAACATTTTCTTTCTTCTTGAACTCCTTGATATCAGCTCCGCTTTATCCCCTTCCTCCTCCATCATACCCCCCAGGAACCATTATTTTACTTTTTTCCCCTATAATAACTTGTTGAGGTTTTGGGTTTTTTTGCCATATCTTGCACAATCCAACATATCCATTCACATAAAATTCTGCTGTTCAAGCCCATCGAATGGGGTTATAAGGAATCAATGTTATCAGCTCCCTGTTCCCCCTCCCCCTTTCCTGTACCCTCTGGGAATCATTACTACTGTTAGTTTCTGAAGGGTTATCTATCTTGACTTATGATCTTAAATATACAAATGAACATGCACAAATCTATCATGATTAATGATAGGGGAGGAAATATCAAAGAATTAGAGGATAGGTATGTGGTTCATCAGTGCTATACCATACCCTGGATTTACCATCCCTTCCATGTGGCCCTTCTAAGAGGGACTGTCCAATTATCTTACAAATGGGGTTCGGATCTCCACTGCATCTATTAGATCTCTCTGCGTGAGAAAGAATTCACGCCGAAGACTGGTTTGTGATCCAAGTGAGTTTTATGAGAGAAGTTTCAGGATTATGCAGGCAACCGCAGAGCTCCTCGCCCCATGCAGTCTCCCGAGAAGCTGCTCAGAAAGTCACGCGGTCGGCTCCGGGCTCCTGCCTTTTCAATTATTCTGTGAGCGGTGTGGTGAATGACCCTGGTCGACCCCATTGGCTGAATCAAATTCACCTGGCTTAGATAGGCCAATCCAGGTGTGGCTCCCACCCAGGTCTATCACCCCTTCATGGCCAGAAGCTCGAACTTCTCAGCACGTGTATTGGATGCCCCAGTCCCTATGCTAGTAGCTAACTAACACATCCACACCCCTTCACATCAATTTGGTTGCTTGTTTTTGAGCTTCTGATACTTCTTCCCATCGACACCGAATGATCACACAGGGTGGTATGCTTCTTCCATGGGGAATTTGTTGCTTCCCTGGTAGATGTTTAACTACAAGCCTTTAAAACTTCTAGAAGCCATGCCAAGTAATGGCCTTCTATAGTTGTATTTGCCATAGACAACACCCAAATAAGAAGATGGTATATCACCTGTGATTCACAGGTGATTTACCATCCTCTTATTTCCCACAGATATGAAGCAAAATGTTCCCCCATTCATCTCATCTCCCCATTCTGAAGATTGTTCTTCACATGGTTGTGTGAGTCTCCCATCCACCCCAACATTCACATTCACTGATATGTAGAATGGCAAATTTCTGGGTCATCCTCTCTGAATACACTCCTCTCATCCTTTCTGAATACAGAATTCTGTTCAGTCTCTGCACTCCCCCTTTTGAAGGTAAATGAAGTATTAAGGAGGTATTCAGTTGGTCTTGACTCATCCTTGACTCATCCAAGACATGCAGCTACTACTTTGGAGATTAATCTGCTATGATTTGGAAAGGTTTCCAATTTGAGTGTGTTGTCTATGGCAAATACAACTATAGAAGGCCATGACTTGGCATGGCTTCTAGAAAAGCTGTATGAAGAGTTTATCAAATTCTCCCTCCTTCCCCCAAAATAGAAATAAAACTGGTCAAAAAGCTCTAAAACAACCATTTCGGGAATCTGTAAATAGATCAAAGGCACAAAACAAATTGATATGCATTATTCAAACAAAACTATTAAATATCAGTATGTACAGTGGGAGTGTGTGATGTTAGAGCTTGAGGCTGTTTTATACACCCACCTCAGCTCCATAGCATAACATCTCTAACTGGGAAGTGCAGACCATGAGACCCAGCAACTTGATTGCTCAAGAGGCTTCATAGAGTGGAGCATGAAAAAATCCAGTTCTAGAAGCATTATCCAAAATGAAAACAATCATAATTCAAAAGATGTTTCTATTGCTGTATAGCACATTGCCACAAATGTAGAAGCTAGAAGTAATGTCAAAGTATTACCTCAAAATCCTGTCAGTCTGAAGTCCAGGCTCAATGTGACTGGGTTCTTTGGTCAGGGTCTTACCTGCCTGACAACCAGGTGTCAACCTGAACTGTGGTTCTCCTCTGGGCTCTGGGTCCTCTTCAAAGCTTTTTGTTGGTAGAACTCAGTTTCTTAAGGTTGTAGACTATGGCTCTGTTTTCTTACTGGCTATCATCAGGGAATGCTCTTAGCTTTTGTAGATGTTGTCGACAGTTTCTTGCCATGTGGTCCCCATAGGCTCTCTTACTTAAATATTTGCATCCTAATAAAGTACCATGAAATATCATATATACTCAATCAAGTATAAGTCGACCCAAATATCAGCCGAGGCACCTAATTTTACCACAAAAACTGCATTAAAAATATGCTGGAAAACTCGGCTTATACACAAGTATGGTAATAGAATTTTTCTCTCTCACGTGCTAGAGGCTAGATAATCTAACACAGAGTGTCATCAGGGCCATGTTCTATAGGAGGAATGTTTTCTTGCCTTTTTAGCTTCTGCTGGGCCCAGAAATTTCTTTGCCTCAGATTTCTGCCTCAGTCTTCCCTTGCACCTATCTGTCTTCACATAGTTTTTCCTTATCCTTGCCTCTGCTCTTCTTGTAAGAATGCAAGTCATAAAGAGATTAAAGCCTATCCTACTCTGGTAGGACCTTGTGTTAACTAATTATATCTGAAAGACCCTGCTTCCAAATTAGGTCACATTTATAGGGACTAAGGGTTTGAACTTCAATCTATCTTTTGAGGGAGGGGGAACTCATAATATAACATCTCATAATATTTACTTTCTTTCCAGGCCAGCTGGAGCATGTATCTCTGATGTTCTTTTCTGGATGTTCACAAACCAGCTGGAGAACACTCTCCCTGTGCAAAAGACTCAAGTGATTAGCTCAAGCCCACTGGAATGATCTTAAAGTCAACTTATTTAGAACCTTAAGGACATCTGCACAAAGTCCCTTTTTCACAGCACCACCTAAATTAATGTTTGACTGGTTAACTTTGAGAAGGTGTGTGCACACTAAAGGACCAAGAAACTTGGGGGATCATCTTGGAATTCTACCTACTTCAATTTGTTTCTAAATAACATCAAACAATGAACTTGGCCAAGTGTTCAATGAATGTT